TTTGTTTTATAAAATTGATTTTAATTTTATTTAAAAAATACGTCCCTGTTTACGCAATTTTTGACTCCATAAAGTGGAGTTCTAAAATTAAAGGCAGAACATTCAAATTATCTTGTAAAACATCTTTTATGATTAACATTAATGATTCATCGTCTTGCAAATCACCGTCTTTTAGGATGGATCTGATAGCTTTCAATTTCAGTAAAGACACCCGACACTCGAGAAACGCTCTCAGTGTTTCCATTGATGCAACGTTTACGTGGTTACAATGCGCTAATTTTCGTGCCCAAAAATACATTTGCTCAATTCCAATACTGTTGTTTCCAGTGGTTTGATTGTCATTTTTGTCAGGAACAATGGCACTAGCATGCTCTTTCGCGGGATCTACGTCATCATTAAGACTCAGTCGATTCCAACGCCTCTTCCTAGACGATGCGCGGGAATTTGATTTGGAACCGGCGTGGAAGTTAATGTGGCTCTGTGGGCCCATGTCCCCATCATCTTTACCAGTTGATATCAAATCAGCTAATTTTAATACATCCGTATTAGTCTTACAAACTTTTCCATCAACGACATCAGTGCAAGGAATTAAGTGCGTCTGAAACATGGGGTCCTCTAAATAGGGTGCGCGTTTATTGTCATTCGTTGCTCTTGGGGTCTTTAAGGATGAGGCACGTGATCTAACACGTGTTTGCACATGTCGTTGGTCTGTAGAATCTTCAGAAAGTGGTTTATGTTTTTTAACGGAACCTGAAGACGTGTGCTGATGACTTGTTCTTTTGTCTTTTTCTGTAGGTGGTGTAAAACATTGATCAGATACAGAGTTGCTTGCCCGATGTTGCTTAGGATATATCTTTCGATTTGTCAAGTACTTCTCGCTACAACTCGATCTTGAACGCGAAGAAAGTTTATTAGCTGGTGTTGAAACCAGGTGGTCGACGACAGCAATAGGCGAAGGCTGTTCTTCACACACCACAACATCCTTAAAAAAGAAGTTATTAACTTCATTAGTTAAATCAAAAACAAAATCAGTTTCCATTCATTTAGCCCAATACAGGCTTTGGTTTCATAATTGGAATGGGGAAATTTGTGTCTCAGGCTTGAAAAGGACCCATAATTACCATGATGTCCAACTGTATTAAATAATTAGTATTTATTTTCTTATAAATTGGTTTAGGCCGAAGGCAAAGGATATGCCAAGCAGGCTGCAGGCTGCAGGCTTGTAATTGTTTTGATCGTGAGACAAAATCCTGTTACCGTGACAGTAATTGAACCCAGAACGATTGAATTGGAAGGCAAACATCTTAACCACTAAGATTCACCTCCACTCCGATGACGACAATAATCACATTAATTAGGCTTATTTAAGAAGAAAGACTCATTTTGTACTACAAATTGTGACCGAAGGCCAAATTACTTTCTACAAATTGCTTTCTGCAAAAGTGGAGTTTAAAATATAACATTAAAATGAAGTAAAAACAATATTAATTGCTATCAAATATCATCATGATTATTATATTATATTATATAAAATATTAAAAAGATTTAGTCCAGTCTGAGAGGAGGGTATCTCATTCATATGACCTTAATTTTGATTCATAAGGACAACAGTGAATGGGGTTGTTAGAAAACCGTTTTGTGTGAGAGGCCAGACGAGAAATGCTATTACGTTTTCATGGTTTCAACGAAAGCTAGAATTGCGACGCCGGCAACAATGCCGCCGACAACAGCGTCGACAGCAACGGCGACTGAACCGTGACTGCAGCAGCGACAAAAACAGTAGCATCACCAACAGCGACGGCAGCAGCAACAGCGATGGCAACAGCGACAACAACAGCAACAACAACAATAGTAACTGTGGCAGTGAGTCGTAAGCTCAATTACAACATTTTAGATACCACATACTACAGTGACGTGTATTTAAATTTAAATACATGTCTCTGTGGAGTACCTTGTTGAAATACGATGCACTTCCACTTCTTGCAGGGGTGAGAGCATTCTTCCCATCCGATCGGGAACCTCTTGTCACTCCTAAATGA